AAATTACAGCTTGTTGTTGTGTAAGTAAAAAAACAAACAACAAAATCAGCCTTTTCAGAGAAACCGATAACAGAAAAGCCTCGATTAGAAAACACATTAACGTGTTTTAAAGGTTAAAAAATAAAAGTAAAAAGGCAGAACTTCAGCTCTCTATTGTCCTGTTATTAATATTGTTTATTAGATATTGTCTAGTCATGCTGCCCACCTCATGTGGACACAATGCAGTTGGATTATATACTGTTGAGTTGCATAATGTCAGAATCAATCACGGTATACATCGATGTTGAGTATTAGTGTCATGGTCTACACGAGGCTACTTCCCCCCCGCCCGCTCTGAAACTATTACACATCCTGTTGGAAAACATTTAATACTTTAAACGCCTTTTTTTTTTAAATTACTTACATCTATTAATTAATCTCGATATTATAACAGTAGTATTTTAAAGATGTCCAAAATAAAAATAAAGATATTTTGCTGTTTGTTTGCACAGTGACGACTAAAAAGAAAACTCTGACATGTAGTGATTTTACAGCTTCAGCATTCAAACTTCTTGATCCGCGTGCTTCAAAACAAAAACAAATAATCGAAAGCAATAAACAGTCAAATAAAAATTTTATAAAAAAAAGCAACAAAAACGCAGCCAGAGCTTTAAAAAGAGGATGTTGGTGGACACGCAGCTTTGTAAGGTTCGTTAATAAGATGCTCGTCGGTACCACAGGGCTCCAATTAGTGCACAGTGTGGGAGGGAAGAGGAGGAGGAAGAGGAGGAGGAAGAGGAGGGAGGGTCCACCCAGGTGTGACCGACCAAAATATGGAATGAAAAGACAACAAATAAACAAAATATACAATCAGACGACCTGTCCAGCGGCAGCGTGGAGCAGGATTCAAACTCCGCACAACCCAAAACTTTAAAAAATAAACAAATCAAAGAAAAAATATCTCCAAAAAGCACAACATTAAGTTTTTTTTTTCTTATATCCTACATCCAGCCCAAATAGCGACATTAATAGTTCAACAAGATCAATATAGTTTTTTTTTTTATAATCATTTTAAGGTACCTCTTATATTTTTCTGAGTATTTACAACTGTACAAGCAAAAGCACACACTTCAAAGTGCACAAATTTTAATACAGTATTGACTAGTTTTGCATTTACATGGTTTATATTTTTCCCCCGAAAACAAAAAAACAAAAAACCTGAAACTATTTAATAACAGAAAGAGAAAAATTATTCTTTTTCGTACATTTTTTTTTACAAAAACACAAAAAAAAAAAAGGGAAAAAGAAAGAAAAACATTGCTGCTAGATTTGAACTTTCTCGATAAGACTCGTAACGTTTCGGTTCAGCTAAATATTTTCCACGTGTCACGTTTCGTTTACATTTTGGGGGCGGGGGATTTTTTTTTTCTGAAAAGAAATAAACTCTATGCTTGTCTTGTATAAAAGTTAAGGCAAAGTCATTTTTCAAGTTTAAATAAAATTCAAGTTTCTCAAACACTGGATGGACATTTTTTTTTGTGGTTTTTGTTGTTTTTTTTCCAACATTTTGCGTTTAGAGACGTCGACGCATCTCTATTTTATTTTTCTTCTTCTCCCTAAAAAAAAACAAAACAACCAAAAAAAAAACCATTTAACGATATTTCTCATTGGAATAAACAGCATTGGTTTAGTAAATAATGATATGGGTGCATTTTTCTCTCTTTTTTTTTACCCATTTTCCAACCAATGGAGAAGAAACAATAAAATGAAAAAAATTCACCCATCCAGGCATCTCAGTCCTTCAAATAAACAAAAAAATAAACAAACTCAAAAGATTACGCGGTCCCAAATCAAAACCACAGATGAGCGAGAACAGGCTTTAAACAGTTTCCCTTCTTCAGAACGGCTTCCTGTTTCTCTTAGTGGATTACCAGAATGCCCTTCTTGTGCAGGAAGACTTTGGCCGAGAGACGTGCAAGGCCCATGCTCGTTGTTAGTTCTCACGTTTGTTTTGTCCTCCCCTCCCCGCTGAACACGATATTGTGTACTAGTACAGTGGCGGGTTTTTAAATGTTATGGGGTTTTATGGGTGTTTGGCATCGGGGAGCGCGACAACTTTAAAAAGTTAACCGAAGCACACACGGACTGGACGAGCAGGAACGGAGAACTCCAAACTTAACTTCTGTCACTTATAATTACAGTTTTATAGTTTCTAAACTCGTGGGGTGTCATTCTTTACATCTCCCGGGCCGATTACATCTTTAGGAAACAGGGTAAAACAACCCCAAGAGTTGTTTGGTTATTCTTGCCAGAAAGTGGCTGCTACAGTAGGACGGGACCAACCCAACACAGAACTCTCGGAGTTTCCTCCTCAGCCGTCTCCAAATCGTTTTGTGCTTCACCCGAAGGAATCCGATCCACAAGGCTCTCAGCGCCTGGTTGGATCTAAACCCCCCCCCCCCCGTTAAAGTTCTGGTAATCTTGTGTGGTTGCTATTGTATAGCGCTCTCACATCCCGGGAACCAGAAACCCCACCAACACATTGTATTCGTCGGGCTCGATATCGATGTTTTTTCATTAACACTTGCTTAAATTTAAACATCCTCTCACGGTGAATTTATCCACGAGTGAAAGCGAGCCAGTGTGCTCTGGTCAATCTTTTTATTTTCCATACATGGCCGCCGCGAGTGGGAAATTTAAAACTAGGGAGGAAACCGACGAGGGGACAAACATTAAAATGCGGTGAAAGGCCGAAGAACTCAAACTGCCCTCGGTCCTGAGCTTTTGCGTTCAACGCCGTTCACGTGAGCCTTCGGACGAGACTCCCAAAACAAATCTCTTTCACACTCCAACGTGGCAAACTACAAAAAAAAAAAAACCTTCATCAGCATTATTGTTTTTTTCCAGTAAAATCTTCTCGTCACCCGTCTACTTCCATATTCATTCAACACTCTTTCATGGAAATCCTCCTGACACCGAACCCAAAAATACTGCCACAACCACTGCAGTTTACCTTACACAGCAAAACAACAGAACAAATTGAAATTAGACCCGTACAAATATATATATAACGAGCTGACGACTCTGTTAATTCATGTTGACCTGCGCTGAACGTCCGTACCTTCACTACAGTGTGTTCAACAGGCATCCAACAAGGGCAGGAAAAAGCGCTTCGGCGGGGTGCGTCTACGGTAGATGGCGTTAGCGGTTACAGCAGGGGTAGGGGGGGGCGGGGGGGACGCTTCCCTTGGACTTTAAAGGATAAATTCCCTTTTATTTTCTTTGTTTCCGGCTCAGGTAGGATAACTCAAAACATTTGCCCCTCCGAGTCCCGAGAAAACACTAACAGGGCAAATAAGTTCTGGGAATGTGAAGGTCTAGTTTTTTTTTTTTTTTAGGCCGGCGGATGAGGTGCGCGATAACAGACTTCCAGGATTTTTGACGCTAGCCACCTATCTAGAAGAAAGAACTTATTTGAAAAAACACGCCGCCCCCCGTGTTGAACAGAAACACTCTGTACCCCAAACAAAAAACCCACGATGAACTCTTTTCTCTGTGCCGCTTTTGAAAGAGTCATTGTCGTTCAGCAGATATTCACCACGAGTGCCGCCGGCCTTCCTCTCTCCTCCTCCTCTTATGGCAGTTAGTTACAGGGTCACGCAAGATCTGAATGGAAGCTAGTGTTCATTTCCTCTCACCAGTGGTTTCCGGAGCGAACCCGGACCGCCTCAAGACGGCAGCGGAGCGTATTTATTTCTCGTTAAAAAAAAAAAAAGGAAAAAAAAATCGAAATCTCATTATTCTTTTTAAATCTGCCCTTTTCTTTGAGTCGATGTGCCTGCTGATAAGTTTACTTCCACAGTTTCTTAAAACAAGAAACGTGAGGGAAGCCGTTGCAGCTGAGAAAGCTCCCAAGAGTTTCCCACAAGAAACACCAAACACTGCGCAGCCAAAAAAACCCACTTCTCCACAAACATCTTTTTGGCCAACAACACAGTGCCAATAAACGTGCCTAATTTGCCTTTTTTCGGGTTGCAAGACTATCCCGGGTCTTGACGCTTAAGAACAGCACTCACATCTCACATTCGCCCGAGGCAACCGCAGCTAGCTGGTTATGGGGAGTGTAAGCAGGTAGTAAAAAAAGAGAGGGAGTGATTCCTTTACACGAATGATCCAGAGGGAAGAAAAAAACCGCAAGCGGTAACTCAGCCGACAGTCGATCGAACAAAGCTGGAAAAGCAAAGCAAAGTCAATCTAGGTGTAAATACAATCTTGCAAAAAGAAAAGTTCACTCGGGAGGGCGATTGTAAGACCAAAGCGGTCCCAAGTCTTGTTTGCGATGGATTTTTAGAAGGAAGTTTTTGCATATGGGGATGTGAAATAGTTTAAAAAATAAACTGCTAATTTTGCCCATAATTAAGCACATGACAACAAGAATAAAAAAAAACCAAAAACCAAAAGACCCCAAGCAACTCCGGCACAAAGTGCAACTCGGACATGCACCACCAAACGCTCCTCACTGGACGAGAGAAGCAGCAAGGTGGGCGTCTGTTGTACGCACTCTTTTCCATCCATCCACTGGGGGCGGGGGGGGGGGCTGCCTTCGCACCCCAGCACGATTAATTTTATTTCACCAAGGCAATTTGGACCAGAATATTGCAATTTCATGTTGCGTCTGTGTCGACTTGTTAAAGAAAGACACAACTACCGTAAAGCAAAACAAAAACAAAAAGAGAACAGAAAAAAGCGAGAAAATAAAACTGAAAATTAAAATAAAAAACAGGGCAAATAAATAAGTAAAAAGAATGAAACTCTGCTCTTACAATGCACAGTAAAAGTGCTTTTTGTCTGCAAGCACCTGATTCCAGAAAAGAAGGCGTCCTCTATCGTTTCGTGCAACTGGGGAGTGTCTGGATATAAGTATTCGAGTAGCCCGACTTATATTCCTTGTTTTGCACACACATAACCACGGGTGTGGAGTTAGGCGGCTGAGACGCAGTAGGGGGGCAGGAAGCGCTCCCTTATGCCGGGGATGGCGGGTGTGTGGGGATCTTTGCTGGTTTTCCCCCCCTGTGTGGCGGGACCCCACGGCCGGCCGGCTTGTCGGGCCGTCCCTCGCGTCTCCCGGCGTGCGAGCCGGGTTGAGGAGTGGTTGCTCTCTGGCCTTGGCCGGCCTCCCCTGGCGGGATGGCGGCGGCGGCAGCGGCGTCGGGGCACTTCCTCTCCTCGCCTGCGGGGGCGCCGCAGGCTGGCTTGGCTTCCTTGGGAGTCGGCGGTTGCTGTAATGTCGGGGCGTCCTTCACCCGCTGGCAGATCTCGGCGTAGGAGGGCTTCCTCAGCTCCTGGCAGGAGAACAACAACAACAACTGAGTCATAAAATGTTACCCAGCATGCACCTGGAGGCCCGTCACTGCGTGCTGCGCTGAGCGGGAAGCTTCTTTGTGGGTGAGCGATGACATCAGAGCCTAGACGACCAAATATAAACGCCGTATATATTCTACATATTCCAAGTGAGCTGGACGACTGAAACTAGGTTTATTTTCCAGCCTTTTAATAATTAACAGGTGACAGAGTTCAACAATAAAGTGAAACGCCGTGTCGGGCTCGTTAACACAACAACTCACTCGTGTGAAGACAAAGTTTGTATTTTTATGGTTTTATTACGTTTTTTAGATGAGAAACGACTCAGAGGTTCAAACCCCCGGCAGCAGCGATGTGTTTAAACCCACATTCGTAGACACTTTGCTGCATCTTATATCACATTTCTAACCTCATCTTAAAAGCCCTTTGGGGGGGGGGTTTCTGCTCACACCTACATAATCCATCTTTCTATCAACATGTTTCAGCAGCTGAAGGTTTTTACTGCTAAAGCCGAGGGGGAATTTCAGCCGTAGTGAAGCATTTGAAGGTTCCTGCTTTTACTGCCAAAACCAACCTAAAAGGCACCGTTTGCTTCAGGTACTTGTTGTTGACTAACCAGTTCACAGATTTAAAACCTTCCTTGCAGTATTGCAGGTAAATCCTTTAAACTGTTACCTGTAACTCCCCCCCCCCTTCTGAGGAGGAGGAGGTGTGAGAAACGAACTTACCTGCAATAAGAATCAATATGAGACGGAGCAGAATTAAAGCCCCATTAATTTACCTCCTTTTTGTTCACGCTGAGATCGATCTGTCTGTGATTGAGATGTCTGAGAGGAGGTAAGCATAAAAAAAAAAATAAAACAAAGGAGAAATCAATACTTACTGTGGCAGCACCGTTGACTTGCACTGATTTGCTTGCAGTGGACAAAGTGCCGGGAACTCGCTCCACAGACAACTGCACCTCCTTCGGCTTCACCTCCGTCACCTTCGCCTCCCTGAAATAAGAAATAAATAAAAGGTGGTGAAACGTAACAGCCAGGCCGACTCGAATGTCAACTACATGATAACGGCACGAAGGTCGCCTGTCTGTCAGTAATAATGTGAGAAAACCTGCTTTGAACAGGAGAAACAACAATCAAGATCCTGAAATTACAACTTTATCCTGACGCTTTCTCTTGCTGGAAACTAACATGACTGGCGACACAGTTTTTATAAGCGTAGATTTATCTTGAGATGACCTGCAGAAGTCGCTGTGTGCGCCTCCCGCACTCATTCCTGCTTCCATACTCTCAACTTCTGCTGCTGAATACTAACAGAGATGGTAAAAAGCTCTGCTGGTGCGCTGTAGTGGTGCAGTATAACTGGGCACAGGTAATCTGCAGCCTCTCTCTTCTCTCGCTACGACTCCTCAATGTGAATCAAACTCTGAATTTAAACAAACCCACAGCTGCTCCCCGACCACAGTGGATATAAAGTCTACTTACAGACCCTGCGTTACATCTCAGATTCAACACTGTCAGTGTGGTTTTCTTACGCTGCTGGGAGGGAGGGCGCGGGACTGTGCGGCGGGCCGGCGGTCGGGGGCGGGGCCGAGGCCGGGGTCGTCGGGGTCGTCGGCGAGGGCTGGAAGCTTGTGGGCATCGGGGAGGCGGAGGACCGAAGAGGCTCTTTGGGGCCCGCTGGAGAGAGAGCTCCTCCGGTACTGGAGTCAGCACTTACATTCTGCAACGGACAGGAAGAGATTTAAAGTCTCCATCAGTTTACTTTAGTTTTTATTGATTATAAAGGCAATTTAAAGACGTATTTTATGTCCATACTGGCAAAAAAATTTCTCGGAGTTAAAAAAAAAAAGCCTTGTTTCTTGGGAAATTAGTCTTATTTTTTGTTTTGTGTTAGAAAATATCTCCAAATACTTTGTGTTAACAAGATATTACAGCTAATATTGAGCTCCATGTAACCAGTAACAAGTTACAACAATTGGTTTGCATCATTAATAATGATTTATTTTCCTTATTTTAAGAGTTAAAACCACTTCTCAGTTTAAAAGAAAGTCGTCTCCTCCCAGTTGGAAATGAAGCAGCTGTTTAGTTTTTCATAAAATAATTATGTATTTTTTACTAATTATTAATCTTAGCTTAAGGTACAAATACAGTAATCTTAAATAACATTGATATCATTACTTATAATAAAATAATTTAGCTCTCTTTAACTTGATGCCATTCATAAAAGACAAAAAAAATAGCTTCAGTCTGGAATTTAAGTTAATCTTCTTCAAATTTGACAAAGACAAATGATAAAAAGGAAAAATAACATTTTGAAAGGATAAAAACTACAACAATAAAATGTTACATTGGATTATGATTCAGGATTATTGTGGGAACGATTGTTTTATTCATGAAAAAGTAAATTTGTGTATCAAGCTACAATACTTCATTATAACGCTGTTTGTCACATTTTATCTTCATCAAAACATTTCAGCTTCTGAAATTTTGATACTATTAGTTGATTGTGCAGCTCTTAAATAATAGTAAAATAAACACCAGCAATGAAACTAATGTAAAAAACAATTATTAAAACTTTAAAGGCTCCAAATTAAAAACAGAAACTGTAACTTTTCCCCATTCGAGCATCGAGGGGCAGCGGTGGGTTGAGAGAGTTTAAAGGCATAAAAACAGGAGGAAACTCTCACCGGCACTTTTATGAGACACATTTAAAAAGAAAAAGCGGCGGAGGAACTTAAGTGATCTGTCTGGAACATAAAAATGAAAGAAAAACACTGATGTACGATGAGCGAGGTCATTTAAAAACAGTTTTAGCGTCAGTCCTCACCCGTTCCTTGGCGGTCCCGACGACGACGCTGCTGGCCAGCCGGTTGTCGAACACGTCGTCGGTCTTGAGCTGGCCGGCTGCTCCGGGGAGGGGAGGGAAGCTGGAGAGACCCAGCTCGAAGCTCGGAGACGGGGGTTTGGGAGGCGGAGGCGGCGACTGAGGCGTCACTCTCTATGTTGGCGGGAAACAGACACAGAGTCAGCAAACGTATCACGATCACATTACAGGAGGAGTTAAATCCTGCCGTCATTGTTTTCCTTTATATTAAATCATTTAAACGTTAAAAACAGACAACGAGGACACCAAAGAAGTTACTTACTGTAAACTTTTCGTCCCTCTTTTTCCTAGAAGCAGAAACATTTTTCCTTTAAGAAAGAGAACACTTCAATTTACAAACATCCGTTCTGACTGAAGCAATGACTCAACCGTGCACAATGTAAATAAAACCCCGAACAGATCTGAAGAGCTCCATTTTATAGTTATCTCCTCGTTCTTCCACATATAAAGACTGAAGTTTGTGACCTTTGCCTCCATTTAGACTATAAAATGAACTGTTTGTGGCCGACAGCGTTTCTACACTTTTATTTTTCCTGAATATTGTAATTAAATAGTTTTTAAACATTCCTACTGGAGGATAAACAATGTTGGATCAGACACAATAACAGGTTCCCGAACCTCTAAATGTTGTTTTCAAATGAGTCATGCAGACATATTGATCATCAGCCCAGTTTAAACATAAAGCTGGTTGTCCTCACTTTTATTAGAAACTAAAACACAGTTATTACGTTTACATGCACAATAATGTTCCTTTGTTATTTCTATAATAATATAACAACATTACTAATTTAATAACTGATGTAAACAGTGTTTTCTGTTTGGATCTCTCATATAAGCCTTCTGATTAATGAGCGATATGTTGATATTATTCAGGTTTCTGGAGCGTTGTTTGTTGTTTGTTTGGTCTCTTGCCGGTTCACGGTCAGTAAACAAAGCCCACGTTTCCGGTAACGTAGAAGGAGAAACCTACTTTTAAACATTACGAAAGACTTTGATATCTGCAGGTTTTTGAATATGTGCAAACGTCACAACGGTTGCATGTAAGCAGGAACATTATTCCTCAGAAAAAGGACAATAAACAGAATATTTTGTGCACTTAAACGTCGTCACTGTGAACTTGTTCAGCTTGTTTCTAGTGGGACACTTTAAAAGTTTGTTGTCTTCACTGATTTAAAAAGACTTCCTTACAAAACGCCATATTAACTACACAGATCATTGAGCCACATTCGAGCAGCGCCGTACCTTCCTCTGCCGATACCCAGAGAGTAGTCTGTGGTCGAGGGCTCGGTTACTCGCCCCGTGCCCACGGTGTCTCTGCGCGGGAAGGCGGAGGTGGAAGGTAACCTGGTTCGGGGCTGGCTGGTGGGGAGTCGCGTCGGCGGACTGCTGCGGACCCCGTTGAGCCTCTCGCTGGGGAAGCTCGGGAAGAGGCTCGGGTTGTCCAGAAGCCCGGCGCTGCGGTCCGCTGTCGGGATCGTCGGCCTCAAGTGAGGTTTACTGTGATTCCTGCAGGAAACGTGAAACACTTGAGTCACAAATATTCAACTGTATTCAGGATTAATGAGAAGAAACTCACAACTTGAGTGATTCAAGTAGGAAACAAAACATTTTAAAGCTCTTCTACTCCTACTTATCTCATCAGAAAGCTTCACCACCACTATAATTATAAGACAACGCTTTGTTTCCCTCCCTGTGGATTAACAATGATCTTATTACTCAGACGTATTCTACCAACACACGATTGTTTTCCAACCATTTTCTTCCTTTATTAGCGACGGAGGAGCCACAGATACCGACCTGTTCCTGGGTGAGTAGTGTCTGACGGTGAGTGGGGACGTCGCTGGTTTGAAACTGTGCGAGGTGGTAAATCCATTGATGAACTGGTTGTTGTGAAACGGTGCGACCTGGTGAACAGAAAACAGATTAGTGCAGCTGCATTAACAGGAAGTGAAAACGACATATTTCGACAGCAACATGAGGAAAAGTGACTTAAAGAGATCATTTATTTGATAGTTTCAGTCTGATAATTGTGTTTTATATTAAACATACAGTTGCTACACAAAATAAGAGTTTACAAGATCCTCATCGGATTTAATTTAACCAAGAAAGAAACTTCACAAATAACCTTTGAACAACTAGAAAAGCTGCTTTGAAAATAGTTTAACAGATTTTAAAACTATAAATAAGCATTTTAAAAAGGTACTGTTTCATTTTACATTTAATAAACCAGAAGAGATTAATAAAAATGTGTATTAACTTTACATAAATGCAGCATAAACTCTTTATGACATGTTAATATAAGCGATAAATTGGCCCCTAATGCTGCTTCGATGCCTTAATGTTCACCTGTTTGATAAAAATGCAAAAATAAACCAGAACAAATGCTAATATTTGAGTTTTTAAACGTAGATAATTTACTGACTTATTAAAATACCACTTCCCGATTCTTACCAGCGTGGGGTCGATGAAGCTGTGTGTGGTGGACCAGGCCTGCGGCGTGATGAGGCTGTATAAGGGGAACTGCTGCTGGGGGCTGTAAACCGGCGGGATGTAGTAGGACGTGTAGCGCTGCTGCTGCTGCGCGTACGGGTTCACCTCCACCGGCCGGTAACCGTTCTTTGGCATGAAAGTGTTGATAGCGATTGCCTTCGCCTTTATCCTCGCCTGGTAGAGAGAGAGAGAGAGACAGAACAGGGTCGGGGAATTAGCAACATGTACATTTCTTACAACTTCTACGACATAAAAAGGTTCAAAAGTTCTCTAAAAGTCTAAAGTTTGCTCAAATCTGTCACATTATTTATTTATAATTACAATACAGTATTGGTTTCACTAAGTTTCATTTTGTAGTTGTTACGGCACGATCAATACAAATTTTCTTCCCTAAAAACACATTTTAAAACGGTCTAAAATTCTAATTACTGGATTTAATCCTTTAAGTATTATTTCTCATGTGAATTTAACAACTATCTCATCTATTTAAATATAAAAACACGTCGAAACAGTGTTGGAAATGTGGAATATGTGCAAGAAAACACAGGCAAAGTGCTGAAATATCATCAAAATACAAACATTTGAGAAACTGTTTTTAGCAGTTTAATAAATATCTTTATTTTCTTTGGTCCACATATTTTCCCTTTCTTTAATTACTCCTTATTAAATTCGGATTTGTGCTGCTAGTTATATCACCTAATCAATAAGTAGCAAACACACTAGTTCATTAATCTTTCGACCACAACGTAAGAAATAATTGGCCCAATGTTAATTTATTACAGCGTTTAAGTGCATCAGCCAGTTTTCTCTATAACAGAACATATTCATTAAGTGTTAATTAAAAGAACCAATAAAATCCACGGCTGGGTTTTAATCTAACGACGCAGTATATCTGAATGAGAAGAAGAAGCTCTGCTGACTTTCCTTCTGTGGTGTGTTTATGTTGGATTTTCATACATTTAGAGGAACTACTTGACGTCACTTTAAACGCTCTGAATGAACAAGTGAAGATCTGTGGCCTCTCGATGTGTTTCTCTTTGTGACATTGATTATTTATGCATGAGGAAAAGAGATCTTTGCTCTTTGTTTCCTTCACTAATGAAAATTCAACATTTAAAAAAGGTTTTTTAAAGTGCAGAGACGGGCTGAGAAATGTTCCTATTATCACTTAAAACGGACGGTAAGTGAAAAGAAGAACTGCGTCTCGGGTGTTGACCGGCACTTAAACCAGAAGGTTTATGGTACAAATTAGTTTTTCAGTGGGTTTAATTTAGACTTTCTTGAAATCAGGCGACAAGTTCATCCTGATAAACAAACGGTCTTTGCACATTAGTCTTTTATACAAACTCACCGGCCACGTGCATCCAGAGGTTATTGCTCAGTGGGTTTTTACATTACTGGGTTAATATAAGTGTAACGTAATATAACGTAAAGTAACCCACCTTAATAGGCTTCCCTTGGAAGGTCTTCACCTCCTCACGCAGATACTGATATGCCTTTAAGAAGAGAAAGCACATACGTTACATAACCAGGTGATTACAAAGGTAATGGGTAGGAAATACCGATGAATAATAGTAAAATAATACCTGCTGTGCATCTGCTTCTGATTCAAAGGTGATGAACCAGTTGTCGTTGTAGGCAAATTCACAGTTGATGAACTTGGGTAAGTTGTCGCCTTTAAAAAGAGCTTCGACTTCCTGTAGAAGAAAGTTGTTTTAATAGTTAACAAAACAAAAAGACATGTCCAGAAAACAGCAGCTATGCACCAATAAATAAAAGTTAAAATAAATCATCATTGGGTCATACAGGAACATCTTTCACCTTTTGTTGAGCAGATTTAATTTCTGTTGTGTTAAAACATTAAAGCTAGTGTAACATTTAGTAACTTTTATGACACATTATTAACTAATCATTTCAGACTTTTCCAATATGTGCAAACCTCAAACAAAACCCAAACTCTTTACGCTTTAAAAACAAGATAACTAATAACCCTGAAAATGAACACCAGGACGTGTTGATGTTGAACACCGAGCTGCTTCTGAAACCACTTTGTTTGCAAGAGAGCTAAAAGGTCAATTATCATGTCTGGGTCCTGTTATAAATAATTTAATTGGCTCTGAATTCTTCATGTGGCTGAAGATTTTAAGTACGTGGCAGATACTGTTGTTGCTGCCGAATACTGATTGATAACAAAAACAACAACAGGTTTCCTCTAAGGATACGATGGAGGTATTTTTTAATTGATCGTTATCGTCTAATATTGGAGGCAGCTCCAGTCAAAGGAAGCAAAAAGCCAATAAGAGCAATTAATTAATGTAATCAGAGTAAAAAGAGAGAGAGATGACTTCAGGTAACTCAGCTAAAGGCTTAAAAAGGGAGAGAGAGATTCCCCTCGAGGCAGCGAGTTTTTATTACTTATTTGTTTGTTTATCAGTACTTTATTTAAGCTGCTCCCTTTTTTCGCTGTGAAAGTGCTGCTTTTGTTCAGTCGCGACACCGTTGCTTTGTTTACACCAGGGATCAGCTGAATGCACTGAAGCCGGCGGGCGTGGAGGCTAGATCAGCGAGTATCCCTACA